TCAGAATGTGGCTGCGTCCAGAGACAGGCCCCCAAGGCATGCTCAGGCCCAGGGTCAGGGGGAGGCCCTGACCAACAGCACCGGTGTCCTCTAAAGGGGAAACTGCGTTCCTCTGCTGAAACGACACCGCTCCTTAGGGACACGACACTTATTATGTTGATCAAAAACCGTTAAGGCTCAAGGAGACGAAAACGTAAGCCACCTCCCGGCCTGCTCAATACACGCTGCTTACACACCCCACACCGTCCCTCGGTGCCCAGAGTACACACAGTGACAATGGTGACAGCGGATTTTGAAAGGGGAAATGGGGACACAGAGGACGTAGCAAGATCACGCGAAGACTGGCGAGAAGGTGGCAGCACCCGTGTGGAGGGCCAGCCCTGGTCGCCTCAGCCTTGGAGGAATGGCCTTGCCACGCCAGGGTCTTGGACGTGGGCCTCCAGGATGGGTGACAAGGACTGGGGTCTGTCATTTATGTCGGCTCATCTGTGGGACTCAGGCCTGCTCCATTCGAGGAGGAAAGGGGTGGGGGCTGGGCCCTGCCCACTTCCTGCTCCCCAGGGTCCTCCATATGCAAAGTGCTGCCAAGAGCCACCAGGCCTGGACGTTTTGAGACTGGAGGTGCCCACAAGGTCACCTGGCTGGCCATGGGGCGTGGCTTCCTTCAGAGGCAGAAGCTGGGAGGAAAGCCGCACAGAGCCCTGGACACCACCGCCCGCCACGGCTCCAGCCCCAGCAGCTGTTGGTCCCTCCCCCACAGCCACCCAGGTCCCTGCAGGATGGCATTTCACTGCCGGAAGAGCACGTCCTTCAGGACCGAGGGGCATCTGGTCTTCTGGTGGCATCCAGGACACACACAGGAAGTCACCAGTAGCCAGAGGGGGCGGCCCCACCCGGGCCAGGCAGTGAGTCAGTGACCAGGCTCCCAGCCCCGCGGATGTCCCTCATGTCCCCCCATCTGGCCTCCTCTAGGTCTCCGTGTCCAGCAGATGCCCATAAATGTCCAGGTCTAATGGGCATCAGGAAGCGCGTCTGGGATGGCAGAGCCTGCAGGGGCCTGGGGCGGGCAACCAGCTCGAAAGCACCTCAGCTTCCAGTCCCTGCGCTGGGTCCAGGTCATGCCCAGCACTGGGCACTCTGCCACATCCTGGGCACAGAGCTGCAAACAGGTGACGGACACCGCGAGGAACTGGCCAAGGCCTGCCACGGCCCCAACCCAGCTCGCAGCTCCCTGGGAGAGGCAGATCCCGGCTTCGAATCCAGCCTGAGGGCCACAGAGCGTCCACAGGAGCCCCACCCCCCAGAGGACACTTCTGCCCGAGTCTGCGAGAGCTGCCAGAGCTCGGCCTGGACCGCGGCTCGAATCGGGGCCATCCCTTCCCCACAGCCCCGGAGGCTGAGGCTGAACTCAGGCTGGCTCCTGCTGGCAGGGCACCTTCTCGCTGCGTCCCCAGGTACAAAGACCTCTGGGCATGACGCCCACTGAGAGGACGTCTGAGGACGTGCCTGGCCAGGGCTCCACCAGCACGTGGTGCCCATGACCCGACGGCCGGCTCCTGGGCCTCGCAGGCCTTCGGCTGGTCCTATCTGGTCCCCTAGACCTGCCCCCACAGGGACAGGTGCAGGTTCCCCTCGGCCAAGGCAGGTCAGCCAGTGGGCAGGCCCTGGGGCGAGGCTGAGCTCCTCAGACCCAAGGACGGCTTTGCCACCAGGACTGGCCGCAGGCCATGGCTGCTGGTGGCAAAGTAGCCCTGTGAACCAGTGGCTGTAGGTGTGGAGAGAGCCAGCCAGCACCAGCACAGAAGGCTCAGGGTGCCTGCAGGACACCCCAGTTCCAAGTGCCCCCTGCCTGTGTGGGCACAGGATGGGCACATCAGCTCCAGCCCTGTCACCAACTGCACTGAAGACTTAGACCCCTCATGTGGCCCACGAGAGACCCCAGGCTCAGAGAGGTTCAGCACTTAGCAAGACAGCACAGCCTGCACCTGGCGGGGGGCCTGGAAGCCGTCCCTACAGGAACTGGCCGCCCGGCTCCCCCACCACCCACCTTAGCCTCCTGGATCTCCTTGCATTCTCCTGACCCACTGGCCAAGGCGGGCTGGCGCTGGGAAAGCATCTCCTGAGCATCTCGTTAAAACCAGGCATCGGAGCCGTTGGCTGGGAGCCGGGGTAAGCTGAGCCGAGCGGGAGGGTCGTGGGCTGTGGCCTGCCGGTCAGTTAACACGCAGGGCACACAGCAGGCCTTCCGGTGGGACCCTGGGCTTCCGGGCTGTCTGACTCATGCCAGGGGCCCAGCTCACAGACTGTCCATGCTGCTCACATGGACAGCAGGACTGGCCATGTCCCGCTCACAGCCTGCCTGCACGGCCAGGTCCACTCAACCTGGAAAGGCCCAGGTTGGAGGGGAAGCCTGGGTGGAGCTGGCCCCAACCACTACCTGTCTCTGGGGACAGTGCCACTGGATTCAATGACAAAGTAACCTCTTTTTGATTCCACAGGAATGTCCCTCACTGTCAGAAGCCACACGGGACACGAAAGCTAACCAACGAAAAGCCCCCGCGCTGCCCTTGTCCTCTAAGAGCCCCCGTGTGTGGCCCTTCCACCCCGGGAGTCCGCACACCTCCAGGACACGGCTCGGCGAGGAACAGCAGGCCTCTCTCCCAGGGCCGCCTCTGCCTGGCCCCAGTCTTCCAGGCCTCCGAGGGGCTGCCCGGGGGCCGGAGCACCCTGCACGCACGTCCCACACGGCCCCGGGGGTGGCCACACCACACACTTCCCCTGGAAAATGGAGGACTCACGGGCTGGAGGTGTTCAGAGTTGTGTGTCGATCCCCATAATCAAGTTTGGAAACTCTTCGTCACCCTGGGAAGAAATCCTGTATCTGCCCCATTTCCCCTTTCCCAGGTCCTGGCAGTGACTGGTCCCTCTTTGGATTTGCCTGTGCTGGTCATGACACTCAAATGGAATGGCCCCATATGTGGTTTTGCTTTCACTCCATCATGTTTTCGGGTTATTCTGGATTATAGCAGATGTCAGAATTAATCTCCTTTTCACGGCTGAGTAATATTCCACCACACGTTTTGCTCATCCATCTGTCAAGTTAGGTACTCTGGAGGTGTTTCCAACTTGGGGCTCCTAGGATAATCCTGCTGTGAACATTCATGTGCACACTTTGGTATGGACATAAGTTTTCATTTCTCTGGGGTATACACTAGGAGTCGAATTGCTGGGCCATGTGGTCCCTGCTCGTTGAACACTTTGAGGAACCACTGACTGCTCTCCCCAGCAGCTGTTCCCACCAGGGTCCTCCGCATCCTCCCGGGCTCTGGTGCACCTGGCCTTCTGTTCCCGGCCCCCTGGCTGATGCAAATGGATCCCTTCTTCTTCGCACTCCTGAGGGCTGAGGGTGAGCCGAGCTGCCCTTGCCCGAGTGGCCTCGGAGGAGGTCCCTGCAGGTGTGGCCTGTGCAGCCAGCCATCTTCCACGCCCACGGCCTGCAAACCCGGCCCCTCCTGTGGCCGCAGGCTGCCCTAGAGACGTCCCTGAGCCCAGGTGACTGAGATGGTTTTACATGGTTTTTCTTTTGTGGCTTGTGTTCTTGGTGTCACTTCAACAGACCGCCGCGTGAGGTGACAGGAGGACCGGTCGCTGTGTTGTCCCCAGAGTGGAAGTCCCAGCTCTCCAACAGCTCTGCGGAGATGACCTCCACCCTAGGCCCTACTGCCCCTGCCGCAGCAGAGCTCGGAGCTGCCGGTGGCCGTGCTGTCCGGGTCTTCCTGAGGCGGTGCCAGGGCGGGGCTGGACCACCAGGGCCCAGCACGGGCAGGAGCCGGGGCAGGAAGCTCAGCCCAGGGACCTCCGGGTGGTGGCCGTCCTCAGAAGTCACTTCTTTTCTTGGCCGGGGGACACCAGCCCCCGACGTGGAAACCCCCCCGGGACACGACGTGGCCGCACACTCTCAGCTCCAGGAGGCCCCCAGCATGTTCGGGACCATGGGGCCAGGCGCCGCCCGCCCAGCGCAGGACCTCGGGGGCAGGGGTGAGGACCCCTCCCTCGGCCAGGGCTGGCCGCAGGGCCCTATCATCCATTTTCCAGGAGCTGACAGGGGAGACGCCCTGGTCCCTGCCACCGCCCCTGCCACGGCAGACCCCGCAGCCCGAGGGAAGGACACCAGCGAGGGCCACCGATGACGTGCCGGGTGGGCACCACGCCTGTGCCCACGAGGCTGGGGGTGTCGTGGGCGAGGCCAGAAGCCTGCAGAGGTGGACTCTGGTGGCACTGCCCCCCACTCAGGGCCCTGCCGCTCGTGGGACTCGGCTGGGCACTGGCTGCTGCTGCTTCCTGGGCCCAGGCTCCCTCCCCTCCTCTTCTCTCTCCTGCCCCCTGCTCTGACTCCCCAGGCCCCTTGCCTCCTGTCCCTCCGTCACCGTCACCAACTGGCCCCTTGTACCCTGACCTCCACGTCAGCACCAGGGAGCCGCTGTTTCCCAGAGCCAGGCTTCCTAGCTCCCAGGGCCGGGCACCCACAGGACGTCCAGCAGCACCAACCCTCCCACCGGACGCCCCAGGGCCCCCAGCTGTGACCACCAGCCCTCCAGACCCTGCTGCTGTCCCCTGGAGCAATGGGAGCCCTGGCCGAGAACCACTGCCTGGAATCGGGAGGCGGCCATGAGGGCGGGCACAGGGTGTGGCCAGGGCTGGCTGGGCAGAGCCCGGGGCCGTCAAGGCCCAGCTGCCTACGAGCTGACCAGGCCGCTCCCTCCAGAGCTCGGCACCTCCTCCTGCACTCGGCCACTCTCCTCCCTCAGGGCCCTGTCTGTGACACAAAGCCCTGAGGCCACTGCAGGTGCCCTAGGTGCAGCCTCCCAGGACGCCCCAGAGAGCCCCATTAGGCCTCCCCCCAGACCTCCCAGCTGACCATGGGTCTCACGGCCTCACTCCACCAGAAATGGAACCTCTCCCGGCCACGTGGGCCGAGCTCAGGCTGCCCGGGGCCTTACCTGTCCCTCCTCCGGGCATCCCCATGGAGTGTGGCCTCCTCCCAAGGGGCCAGACCTCTCCCTCTGAGGCCGGAGCCGGCACTGTGGAGGCTGTGGGAGGCAGCTGGGCGAGCAAAGCGCCTCTGTGGCCAGCAGTCTCCCAACGACATGCCAGAGGGTCACGTGGCTGGCACCCACGCCCAAGGCGGGCAGGCCAAACCCTTCCCAGAACACCAAAATAGCCTCCGCACACGGCCTCTGCGGACATGCACCTGTCTCCCAGGCATCCGGGAAAGGGGCTCTGGAAAGGCCCCGGGGGCGGGGGGGGGACCAGCTACTGACCCCAGTGCTGAGTAGCGGGGTAAGCACACAGGAGCCCCGGCCCCGAACAGCACACAGAAGGGGCTCTCCAGTCACCCACATCTCTTCTCCCAGCACGGCCAAGACTGAGGCGTCCCCAGGGTCGGAGGCTCCGGGGAAGAGCCTTCCACTTGTCCTGCTCCTGGTGGCCCCAGTCCCCACTCCATCTCCCTGCGTGTCTGTGGACGTAGGGCTGACCCCAGCATCACGACATTGGGACTAGAAGACCTGAGGCCACTGGCCTCCCCTGACCCTGGAGCACAGGACGCCCACTCCTGAGGGGAGACTCCGTGTCTGAAGACCCCCAGAGGACGGGGTGCAGGAGAGGGTGCAAGGCCTCCCTCCTGTCCCCCCGGCGGCCCCAGGCCCCAGGCCTTGGGGTCACTCCCCACCCCCTTGGGTTCCCTGAGCCAATGGAGCCTGGCCACCCCAAGAACCCACACTGAAAAGGCAGGTCCTGAGGGGCCAGGGCCTCGGTGGCAGAACACACCTGCCTTCTGGGACTCAGCCGCAAGGTGTGTGTGAGCCGAGTGGCAGGGCCGGTGGCAGGCCATGCAGACACCCGAGGCCCCACAGCTCTGTCGGGACTCCCGGCCAGGAAGCCTGGTGCTGCACCCAGGGACACTGTCTCAAGGGCGTCTCTGCAAAGTCAGGGAAAGGGGTGAGAGAGGCTGGCCCTGGGGCCCCACCCTGCCCTCCAGGCCCTGGGGGGGCAGGTCCAGCTGCAGCACCTCCTGCGGGTGCTGAGCACATCTGAGCCTTTACAGATTGACACCTGTCATTTAAGATGCGCCTGCGGCCCTGAGGTGACACCATGAGCATCCCCACAGGACAGCCAGCAGATGGCCAAGCCTGGCAGGAGCAGCCTGCTGGCCGCCCAGGGTCTGAGGACAGCCCAGCCCAGCCCAGAGGAGCCAGGAGTGCTTGGCGGGGGCAGGAAGGCTTTCCAGGGGAGGCGCCATCAGAGCCCAGCCGTGAGGAAGGAGCAGGAATCAGCCAGAGAAACAGGGGGTGGGGGGAGAGGGAAGGGGGCTCGGGCCGAGAGGCAGTTCCTGGGCTGCGGTGAGGTGGGGGTCTGCACCCCTCCCCCTGAAAACTGGTGCGGCAGGGGCCGGCAGAGGGCCGCCCAGGGACTGGCCATCGCCCATGAGTGGCAGGGAACAGCACGCGTGGAAGGGCATGCAGCGGAGGATGCCCAGAACATGCCAGAGAGCAGGGTCCCAGCTCTGCCCCACCTCCACGACAGACCGTCTGCCCACAGGGATCTGCCTTTGGACTGAAGTGGCCTCTGCAGGGACACTGATTTTGCTTTTCTTTTCACAAAGTGTCAGGAGGTTGCAAAGGTCCCTGTTCTGTGGGCTCTCTTCACACCGCAGTTTCCTTCCCCGTGAAGAAGCTTTTGAACCTGAGGCCGCCCGTTTACTGATCCTTGTCATTATTTCCTGAGCTATAGGGCAGAGGGTTGCTATCCATGACATGTAAAGAACTAGAACCTTCCACCAGGAAACCAGGTCACCCAGAGAGTCAATGACAAGTGGATTAAACAGACGTCTCTCAAAACAAGTAAGAGAAGGCCAACAAATATGTGAAAAAACATTTAGCCACCAACCAAGGAAACGCAGGTCGGAACCGTGCCGAGCATTCGCCTCCGTCCAGCTGGGGTGACCACCGTCAAGAATGCGAATGACAAGGAACACAGGGGTCGGGGAAGGACTAGACGACACCCGGTGGCCGGGCTGCGCAACCACTCTGGAATGAGCAAGGCCAGGGGTGGCACTGCGTGTGGCCTGGCTTGGCACCTATCCTGAAGGTCACCCCTCTACAGCGATGGGTGCACACCCACGTCTATGACAGCACAATTCACAACTACTGAACCAGCCCAGGTGGAAGAATGGATGAAGAAGATTCTACACACACACACACACACACACACACACAGACACAGATACACACACACACACAGACACACAGACACAGACACACACAGACACACTCACACAGAGACACACACAGACACACAGAGACACACACACACACACAGACACACACACAGACACAACACACTCACATACACTCACACAGATACACACAGACACACACACACACAGGCACACAGGCACACACAAGGGAGTTCCCCTCAGCCATAAAAAAGGACGGAATGGTGGCATTTTTGGGGAGTGGATGGACAGGAGAACGCGCTGAGTGAGATAAGCCAGATTCACAGGGTCGGAAGTCTCATGGGGGCCAGGAAGAGAGAAAAATCGGGAACAAGGGACCTGGTGAACACAGAAGGGACAGCGGTGGGGAAGAGGAAGAGGGTCAGGCAGGGGAGGAGGGAGGGCAAGGACAGGTAGGGGTCCCATGGACCAATCACGGTGTGCCTGTGCGGATCTGCCACGGTGAGACCCTCTATTCTGTGCAGTCACTAGGTACCAATAAAGCAAGGTCACCAGGAGGGGCCCTTGCACACAGGGAGGATGGCCCCGCCCTGGCTGCATTTCCCAGCACCGCCCTGCTCTGCTCTCCCTCGGGGACACCCACAGGTCCACATGGCTCATCATGGACACAGAGACCATAACTCCACTTTCCAGTGAGAGCAAGCAGGAATGTCTAAACAGAAGGCCCGGGGTGGGGGGCGGGGGCCTGACCTGAGTGCAGTGGCCCCAGGGCAGGGGGACCCACTTTCCTGACCGGCTTCCCGCGGGCCAGAACCCCGAGCTCGCTGAGCCAGGGACTGAGCCGAGGGCCGGTGGTGGTTTGCAGGTTCCTTTCCCTCAATTCCCCTGCATCTCCCTTCCTTCCTGGGCTTAGCTGCAGCAGGCTCCAGGCCTGAGGGATAGGGAGAGGGAGGCAGAGGCGGCCTGCAGGTCACCTCCCTCTGGAGCTTGGGGCCTGGGGGATTCAGGTGGTCCATGCCTGAAAAGGAGGAGTGGGCCTCTGAGGCAAAGCAGTGGTGGCAGAAAAGAGAGGGAGGGAGGGAGGGAGGGAGGGGAGACCCGGAGGGAGGGAGAGCCTCGGGCTTCGAGGTGACTCCTGGCTGGTCGTGGAGCTAAGGTGTCCACACCAGGCCCCTGCACACGGTGCTGCAGGGCCAGCATTCCTCTGGGGGACAGATGGCAGCTCCCAGCCAGGGCAAGAGGCATGGTGTGGCATGGACCCAAGAGCATCCCAGTATGGTTGGGGCAGAGCACCACAAGGGCCACCTGCCCCTGGCCCCACCCAGGAACTCTGTGTGACCCTGGCAGGGCACTGGGGAAGGGAGAGGGCCCCAGGAGTTGGACAGTTACTGCCCACTACAGCCACCTTCCCCCCAGGGACCAGCTGCTCCAAAGGATTTCCCTGGAGGAAACTCCTGCCTGCCCCTCCTGTTTTCAGCCATGTGATTGGGCAGGACAGGCCCCACCTCTAGCTCTGCTGAGCCCTGATTGGCTTAAGATAAAGCGAAATCTGCATATCCCATCTGTGGGCCTGGCTCCCTGGCCCACCCTCCTCAGGATGGGGTGAGGCTAGGAGGAGGGTCCTTCTGCACCACATGTGCACCTTCTGGGCTGATGCTCAGGCAGAGTCAAAGACAGGCAGAGCTACCATTCTGAAAAGTCATAACCTGGGGGTAGGGGGACAGGGACAGGCACTTTGAGCAGGTTCTCTGTCACTAGGTGGTGGTTTCCAAACTGCTCAGACATCGGCACACTGTAGGTAGTGGCCCTGCAGGCACAGGTGCCCACGCCTGTGTGTGGCAGGGACTGAGTTTGAGGCTTCCTGCATCCACACCCTTCCTAGGGTCTTGGAGAGAGTGTATTTCCTGCCCCATGACTCTCTACTTCTCTCTGTGCTGGCTTTGGCCAAGGGCACATAGGTGGATGTGAGCATGTGGCAATTCCAACTCTAGGCCTGAAAGAAGCCTCACGGCTCATGTTAACCCCATGGAGCGCTAGGGCGCTGGCCACCTCTGGGAGCTGCGTGCCTCTGCCTGCTCCACAGTGCAGGGCTCCCTGGGGCTACCGTGACAGATGACCACAAACTGAGTGGCTTTAAATAACAGAAGTGTCTTCTCTGAAGTTCTGGAGGCCAGGAGTTCAAGATCAGCATCCCTGGGCTGAAGTCAAAGTGTACAGGGCAGAGTTCTCTCTGGAGGTCTCGGAAGTGTCCCCAGCCAGCTGCTGGTGGCTGCTGCATTTCCTGTTTCTGAGGTCATGGCTGCTTTTCTGTGTGTCTGTCTCTAACCTCCTTCTGCCTCTCCCTCGTGATGGCAATTGTGACAGCATTTGGAGCTCACTGGATAATCCAGGAGCGGGCTGAGCAGCCTTAGAGTGATCCCGTCTGCAAGCTCCCTTGGCAGGCTGCAGACACTGGACCATGTATCGCGGAGGAGGGGGCTTTGCAGCCTCCCCTGCGCGGCGATGTTCACCCGACATCCTATGAACGGTTCCGCCCAGAAGCGCTTTCCCTCATTATTCGTGACGAGCTCTACTATTTTCTATTCAGTTCACCCTCTTATATAACAGGTTCTGCTGTGACCCACTAAACTGGTTCTGTGCCCACAAACAGACCGCCACCCAACAGAACAGAAACTTCCATCCAGCCTGCAGACTCTGCCTGGTGGGGTGGCAGGCAGGTGGACGCCACAGGATTTCAAGAAAAGCCAGATGACCTCTGAATGCACACCAGGGCGGGGTCCTGTACCCCAGCCCACCCCGCTCTTCAACTTGCTCTTGGCCACTCTGCCCAGGCCACCACATGCCCCTGGAATACACAGTGGACGACTAGGGACTGGCTGGGCCTAGATGTCCCTCTGTGGGAGAGGGAAACTGCTG